TCACAAATAGCTGAAATCAAGAGTTGGATGTTTTAACCCACTGAACCCAAAAGACATACTTTAAATACAAGGACACAGCAGATTGGACATGTCAAAAGTAAAAAGGTTAAGAGCGCTAGTATGGTTAATATAAAAGTAGACTTCAAGGATTACAAGAAAGGATTACCAAAAAGAAATACAGACATTTTATGATGACAGAAGACTCAATTTATCAAGAACACATAACAATTCCAAATGAGGATGCATCTAATAATAGAGCTTCAAAATACATGAAGCAAAAATGAACAGAACTAAAGACAGAAATAGACAAATCCACAATTATAGTTGGACATTACTCCTTGTAATCTCTGTAACCTTCTGTAATCTTTATAACTGATAAAATATGCAGGCCAAAAAGAGTCAGTAAGAATATGGAAAATTTGTACAGTATTATCAGTGACGTAGATCTAACTGACATTTATCAGGCACTATGTACAATAATTGTAAAATATACATTCTTCCAAATACAAATGGAAACTTCATTAACATAGGCCCTATGTTGGGTCATAAAACAAGTCTCAATAAATTTCAAAGAATCTAGTGTAAGTAATTATTGAAATGAGAAGGCTAGTTATTTGTCTTATAATCTATGATTCTGTGAATTCTCCTACTCTGATAAAAGAAATTTTCTAGCACCTTTTTCCAAATCTAGCCATATTATTTGCTTGCTAGGTTTTCAGAAACTTACTAAGTTTTTCTTTCTTTCTTTTTTGAAGATTTTATTTATTTATTTGATAGGGAGAGAGAGAGAAAGCACAAGCAGGGGGAGCTGCAGGCCAAGGAAGAGGGAGAAGCAGGCTTCCCGCTGAAGACCCTGGGATCATGACCTGAGCTGAAGGCAGACGCTTAACTGACTGAGCACCCCAAGCACCCCAAGATCTTACTAAGTTTAAGACTCAGTTCTTTAATCCCCTAAACAATGGAATTATTTCTTTATTATTTTTATTATTTTATTATTATTATTATTTTAAACTTTTGGTATAGTTAACATGTAGTGTTATATTGGTTTCAGGCGTACAATATAGTGATTCAACAATTATATATACTACTCAGTGCTCATCATGATAAGTGTACTTTTAATCCCCTTCACCTATTTCACCCCTGCCCCCTCCTCACCTCTCCTCTTGTAACCATCAGTTTGTTCTCTAGAGTTAAGAGTCTGTTTTTTGGTTTGTCTCTTTTTTCCTTTGTTCATTTGTTTTGTTTCTTAAATTCCACATATCAGTGAAATCATATGGTATTTATCTTTCTCTGATTATTTCACTTAGTTGTACCTTTTATATCCATTCATGTTGGTGCAAATGGCAAGATTTCTTTCTTTTTATGGCTGAGTAATATTCCATTGTATATATGCACTACATTCTTTTTTTTTTTTTTTTTAGAAAGAGAGAGTATACACGTGAGCTAGGGGGCTGGTGGTTGGGTTGAGGGAGAGGGAGAGAGATAATCTTAAGCAGGCTCATGTCCAGCATGGAGCCCAACAGAGGATTTCACTCTCTTTCTCAAAAAAAAAAAAAGCATATATATGAAGCTCTCTATTCTCTCTATTCTCAGAAAATGCAATCTTCCACCTGAAGCTTGGCACCATATGATATAGAATCCAGAACATCTGTTGCTTAAGATTCTCTAAAATAATCTCAGTTACCACTGCAGACAATGAACTTCTGCAAAAGAGACTTCATCAGGAATCGTCTCTTTAGAGCCCCTGTTACTCAGCTCATTTCTGGTGTTGAGGGAATCGTTGATGTCTACCTCGATAAAGATGTTCTGTGTATGTGTTTGTCTATTGGGTATAAATGTCTTAAGAAGCAGTACTTAGGGATGCCTAGGTGGCTCAGTCGGTTGAGCGTCTGCCTTCCGCTCAAGTCATGATCCCAGGGTCCTGGGATTGAGTCCCACATCGGGCTTCTTGCTCAGTGGGGAGCCTGCTTCTCCCTTTGCCTGCTTTTCCCTCTGCCTGCCACTCTCCCTAATTGTGTTCTCTCTCTCTCTCCTCCACAGATGGATAAATAAAATCTTAAAAAAAAAAAAAGTACTTAGACCTTAAATAGGAAGGCTTTGAGAATACACTATGGCAGGAGTTCCTAAACTGGAGTCTGTTGGCCCTACTTGGAGGATTGTCAGATAATGTGTGGTGATAGCATTTTCCTGGGGACAGAACTCACAACTTTCAGTAGATTCTCAAGGAATAGAAGCTTTGACCTCTAAAATGCTAAAAAGACTTGCATCATCTTTTCAAGTTGCTGAAAGCATTTTTACATCTTAGCCCTACAAAGGACACAAAACTATGTTTCTGTTTTTTCATCTGTAATATTGGGTTGTGTCAAAAAAAAAAAAAACATCAGCGTGCTCATTGCTTTGGCTGAAGAAGTTCTTAAAGATTTTTTTTTAAGATTTATTTTATTTATTTATTTTAGGCAGAGGGAGAGGGAGAATGTCAAGCAGATTCCACACTGAATGCACGGGGCTCAATCTCATGATCCTGAGATCATGACCTGAGCCGAAACTAAGAGCTTAACGGACTGAACTACCCAGGTGCCCAGATTTTTTTTTTTTTTAAGTACAATCTACCCCCCAGTGTGGGGCTTGAACTCAACCCCAAGATCAAGAGTCACCTACTCTACAAACTGAGCTTGGCTGAAGAAGTTCCGCATAGCAAGCCTGGCTGCCACTCAAGGGTCCATTTATTAATATCTTGCAGAATAAAACTCTGGAGACACCAGCTGGGAAAATACTGGCTTAGAAAGTTCACTTATGGGGCGCCTGGGTGGCTTAGTTGTTGAGCGTCTGCCTTCGGCTTAGGTCATGATTCCAGGTCCTGGGATCGAGCCCCACATCGGGCTCCCTGCTCAGCGGGAAGCCTGCTTCTCCCTCTCCCACTCCCACTGCTTGTATTCCCTCTCTCGCTGTGTCTCTCTCTGTCAAATAAATAAATAAAATCTTTAAAAAAAAAAGTTCACTTATTTTTCCATTCATTTCAAATACGTACCAAGCCTGCACTCCTCTAAGTATCTGTTGAGTGCTACAGAGGCTGCCATGCGGACTGAGAACCCTGGTCAAATGGAACCTAACCTGCAGACACAGGGCTCCAGCATGTTGGTTGAGAGGATGTTCATGAAATTACCCAAATCTAGACCCAGCTCAGCCTATCTCCCACATCTAGACCCAAATCTAGATCCAGCCCAGCCTATCTCTCACTTGCATCAGTGTGCTCATGAAGCCTTTTTGAGCCTAGGTTTATATTTCTCATCTGTAAAATGGGGCTAAGCATGCAATTTTTAGATTCTTCTGAAATATATTTTTGGTTCTTCTGGCTTGATGTATGGGTTGTTCTGGATCCTCCCTCCTACTTTCTAACTTTGCCTCTCAGCCCCTAGGCTCATTTTGCTTGAGCCCCCCATGGTTTTCTTCCTCTGCCTTGACTAAACCACACTCATTTCTATTTAAGGTTCTTTACACCTGTTGCTTCCTCTGCCAGGAGCTACTTCCCTGGTTCTTTGCATCCCTGCATTTCTTTTGCTCACTCTTTCTTATTGTTAGATTTCAGCTCACACACACATTCCCTCCTCAGAGAATTTTCGTGACCATTCATCATGACTCCATACTCTCTCCCTGTCACCTTTCTCTTATCATTTTCTTAGTATTCATTATCTAACACTTGAGTAGTTTGCTTTAAAAAAAATCATTTCTCCTCATTAGAACTTGTTCAGGGTTATAGTCCCAGGACACTGGACAGTGTCCAGTAGAGAAAAAAAGCTCAGAAATACATACTTGTTAAATAAATGAATCGAACGGAACAAAGCGGAGGGCGTAGACATGGAAATGGTACAGATTAAAACCTCATCAACATTAGTGATTACAGTTTTATATGGTCGTTACTATAACATCTACATTTCAGAAGAGGGGATGTGTGTTTACATTTGCATAACAAATTGGGTCCAAAAAGTAAATGGTCTAGAACAATAGTCCCGTATCAAAGGTGAGCTCAGATTCCAACAATGCAAAACAGAAAATCTCTCTCCCCACCCAAAAGGTTTACAAAAAATTCTCAGGTGGTTTTCCCCCTGGCAAAATGTGGTATCTATTAAAATGGTAGAAGTTTGCAGTTAGGTAAGGTTGGTTCAGACACGTGTTTCAGAAGGGAAAGTTAATTCTGGTTGCTACATGTGGATACTAGATCAGACTCTGATAGACAGGTAAAATGGAATGGGTAACTGGGCAGATAAATGGACTGGGAAGGAAGAATTATAGGTGGAGGGTGCACCCCATGATTTCCATCAGAGTCACCAAAATCCATCTCCAGTAGAACTTATAGTTAAATAAGAGAACTGGACCTCTCTGCAGATCAGCAGCTTCAAGTGTATCCTGGATCACCACGCATGAGCCATTCTTGACTGGGAACCTCTGCTGGATTTAGGTATGGAGGGAAGACCATAGCAATGGATTCCATTTCCTGCTCCTAAATGAATGGTGGTAAATAAGGCTAAAGTTGGGATGAGGAGCCTCGAATGCCAGGACAAAAGCCTGTGCCTTTAAGATCTCTAAGTAAGGCGATAAGTAGGAGCGAAGTGGTTTGAGAGGAAAGAGGCCAGTTTTGGAAGGCCAGAGTGAAGGCTGTTTACAGTTCAGGCAAGAAAGGCAATATAGGGTCTAGAATCGGGGGGAAAAACGGGAACAAAAAAGGGATGAACGAGAGTTGTGCAGGTCAGAGGTTTCCAGTGTGTCTGTGGGGGGGCCAGAGGCACTGCAATTTAGGCTGGGCGGGGGATTCATGGGGTTTGTTTGGATGTTTTTGGCCCACGGGATATAAACTTCAATGTGTCTCTTCAAAATAATAGCCCCTGTTGTCTATTGGCTGTATCGTGAAATAGAAATCATGAGTACACTGTATCTTTTAAAAAAAATCCCCTTTTGTAGCACTTCCTTAAAAACAGCTATTTAATGCAACTCTGCCAGTGAGTTCTTGACAGTTCTGTCTTAACGATTCTGATATTAATGAAACATCTCTGTAAAGGGTTGAAGTGTCTTCCTGGTAAGTGTTTAGCTTCTGTTTTTCCAAAATACCTTGTGATAATTTTCTCCTTTGCCCTAAAGAATGTTTCTCATATTGATTGTTCAGATACAAGAAATATTATGCAATTGAAGTGATCAATAGCGTTTTTGAGCTTTTTTCTTCCCTTTGGGTTTGCTACTTTTAAGAGTTGATTGTTGTGATAATTTTGTGGAGTATTTTAAAGTCATTTAAGTATTTGATTCAAAGTACAACACTCATGTATTTGCTTTGGTGCTTATGAGTTGAGGCATAGTTAATTGAAAGTCATTGACATGGCTTTTTAAAAATACATATACTGATGATAATCATTAGGGATCATAGCCCAGGCATGGTTTATGGGTTTTCTTTTTTTTTTAAGTTTTTGCTAAAATGTTCAATATCTCTCACAGTGGAAAGCTGTCTTCCAGCTTTTTTGAGATATAAGTTTAAGGTGGAAAATGTGATGATTTGACATACGAATATATTATGAAATGATAACCACAATAAGATTAGTTAACACTTCCATCACCTTACATAATTACTTTTACATTTTTTAGGGATTTTTTTTCCTCATATTTTCTTCCAACTGACATGGCATAGTGATTTTGAAGAGCAGAATAGAATTTCAGTGTCTGACATACTATACTGATGTAATTATTATATTGTAATAGTGTGTTAGATTATATCATCTCTTTGTATTCTACAGTGTTAACGAGTAAACTCACTGTTTGCAGGGTAAATGATAACTTGTAAACAGAGTTGCTTGTGCTAAATAAAATGATAAGCAGTGTTGGACCCCCCACATGCTCTTTCTTGTTATGTAAATTTGTTTTTTAGTTCTATAGAACTTAAATCTTTTAAAAACCATTTAATGTTTTTTTAATCACTGTTTATTTAAAACAAAATCTAACTTACATGGATAAGAAAGTAGACCGGGGCTCTTATCCTAGGACATTAAGAAGTCAATGGATGGGCTTTACAGGGTAAATTTTATTTGTAATGTAGATTTCCATTTCAAGGGAGAAAAAGCCTATCTTTCACCAGATTCTCAGTAGGCTGACACCAGAAAGATTGGGGGAAAAGAAATCACCGATGTAAATGGAGAGCTATGCTAAGGTAAAAAGGATTCTGATTTTCAGAATTTTTAAATACTCTCTTTTGTTTTTAAGATTTTATTTTTAAGTAATTTTTACACCCAATGTGGGGTTCAAACTCACAACCCCGAGATCAAGAGTCACATGCTCTACTGACTCAGCCAGCCAGGCGCCCCTTAAATACTTTAATTCTTTAAAAGAATTTTGAAATACTTACGTGTTCTCCTGAGTTATTTTTATATTCTCTTATAAGTTAAGCAGTTTAGGTAATTAACTCTATTTAGCTATTTTAACATTTAAAAAGTTTTGTAATAACAGAAAAGCAAAAAAGAGTTTGTAGGCAATTTTATAAGAAGAAAAATGTGTACTCATTAAAGAGACTTCAGATGGTACTTTGGATTCATACAAGGTATTTTCAGAAAATACTTTGAGTAAGATCTTTTAATTCAGAGGCAAATTAAATACACTATTAATTTTGTTTATTTATTAGTCTTTTTCAGAATTGTCAATATATTAATGAAGCATGGTAAGTTGGCATTTTAAAATCTTTGGAGGATGAGCATCCTCTTTGAAGGATGAATATCCTCCATTTTGGAAAATATATGGATTAGATTATAAGGGCATGAAATGGTTTGCAAAATAGTTTAATTTGGGGGCACCTGGGTGGCTCAGTCTGTTAAGGGTCCGACTCCTGGTTTTAGCTTGGGTCATGGTCTCACGGTGGTGGGATCCAGCCCTGCATCAGGCTCCATGCTCAGTATGGAGTCTGCTTCAGATTCTTCCTCCCTCCCCCTTTGTCCCTCCCCGCTCACACTCTTTCCCTGGGTCTCAAATACATAAATAAAATCTTTAAAAAAAACAGTTTAATTTTACATCTTGGAGACATACTTTTGAAATTAAGAGCATTCCATTTTAAGTAGTGATTCAGATTCTGTTTCATTAAAGATATTTCCTTGATCCTTCTTTCCAAATCAGTTTCCTGCTATACAACTCCTTACTAAAATTTATGAGAATGTTAAATATTATACCATAGCATGAATACTGTTCTCTAAATGCTGTATATTATAGAGCAGTGGATCTCAACCAGGGCTGAGAGTGCTGCTGGCATCCAGTGAGTGGGTAGAGACCAGGGATGCTGCTAGATTTTCTACAATGCACAGGACAGCCTTCCACATCAAAGACTTAGCCAACCCTACGTGTCAATAGTGTCATGGGTGAAAAACCCTCCTTTATATCAGAAAGATTAAGTTCAATTGATAATTTCATAACTTGAGGGTTCTGCCATTGTAGCAGTCCTGTGTTGAACAAGACAAGCTGGGACAAGCCTTTGAAGATGCTTTTGAGGTGCTGAGGCAACATTCAGCCGGAGATCTTCAGTACTCTCCAGGTAAAGATGTCAGTCCCTTTCTTTCAGTGGTAATCAAATGGCTTCTTGGTCACACAGACATAATAATTATCAGAACAGAGAAGACCATTTTAATCTAGTGCATCTAGGATTTATTCTAACAAAGGCAAAAAGCTTCCAGGGTTACCTAGCCTACGTAAATTTAAAGTGTCACATAGGAAAATGCAAGAGTATAGAGAATGACATTCCACATAGGAATACTAGCACATAAAATTATTAGCTATTAAGCATATCTGGTTGATATTTATCTAATAGAAAATTTTAACTGTTCAGAGTGGGCTTTTCGGTTATTCTAATTTATCTTATAGACGTTCCATACAAGAGATATTCTACTCAGAAGCAGAATTCTTTTCTTTTGAGAGTAAATATCTTCTTCCTCACCCATTGCCCTATAGACTGTGGAAAGATAGTGTAGGTGAAACACAGGTATCTTGCCTATTGATTTTATACAGGGTATTTCGGGAAGTTCCAAGATAAAAGAAATCATGGGATCTCTGCTTGCAAGGAACATGTGCTCCAGTAAGGGAAATGGGATATGTAAAAGATACCAGTATAATGCAATAAATGTAGGGAAATGCAAAGTGACAGAGAACACATGATGAAGCAACCACACATATAAGCTTATATGCATATATAAACATACATACACATGCAATTATAAACTTTGACTTTTGGAGTTTTCTTTTTTTGTTTTTAAATTAGATTACAAAAATTACCTGGCTTTCATCAACCACTGCTCTCATGTTAGAGGAAATTCCAACTGCTATGGTGTGCTGCCTACAGAGGAACCTGTCTATAATTGGAGAACAGTAATAGTGAGTACATGTACCAGTAGACCAATCTCCCAGTAACAGGCAAATTCCCTATTCACACTTGCCTTCCACTTGGTGTAGGCTTGCTGAAACCCAGCTTAGAGGCAGTGGTGACTGTGAGAACACTCACAGACATCAATGCTGTGAATTTTACAGTCAACATGGGTGATCTCAGCAAGGCTGTCAAGAAGGAAACTGCCCTCCATCATTGCTCTCCATCCAGCATCAGACGGTTTGAATGACTTCTAGAAAGATGTGTTTTTAGGGTTCTCACATTACTGCTTCTCGTCCACCTGGAAAATTGCAAAAAAGTATGGTTCCCCTATAAGCCATAGGGCAAAGCCCAAACTTCCCCTGCACTGGCTTTACCTACAGTCTTGTATTAACCTGCTCTGTTTCCCTTCCCGAGCTCAGAGCTAGCTACATGTCTTGGACCAACTCATGGATATTGTTATAGCTCCCTGCAAACAAAGTGTCCCCACCATCTATCTCTCCATGTGTTCTTTTGTATTATTTTCTTTTGCCTTTTTTAAAAAGATTTATTTCTTTATTTGAGAGAGAGTGAGTGAGTGGGGCAAGGGGCAGAGGGAGAGGGAGAGAGAAACTTAAGCAGCCTCTGCGCTCAGCGCAGAGTCTGATGCAGGGCTCGATTCCATGAACCTGAGATCATGACCTGAGCCAAAACCCAAGAGTAAGATGCTTAATGGACTGCACCACCCAGGCGCCCCTGTATTGTTTTCTTAATGCCGGCTGTCTTAATGTGGTGCGGTGTAAATATGAAATGTTTTTTCTTTTTTCTTTTTTTCCCCAGTCATTGTGCTATGTCAAATGTCCTTTCCCTGACCCTTTAAATTGTTCTGTTAGGGCCTCTCCACAAGACATTTCTTTGAACAGGGAGTTTGGGTTCCAGCTTAACCTCTTCTACCTCACTTAGGGTTGCCAGGTAAAATACAGCATGTGAATATTTTTATTTGCTAAATCTGGCAACCCTGCTTCCCCTTCAACTCCCACTCCCCAGTATATATCACAGCCTCTTGTGGCTGGGGGCACTCCTTGCCTGCTGGGAAGTCTCTTATGGGGTATGGTAAGGTGGCTCAAGTCAATCTTTGTCGAATTAACCCATGGAGACCTACATATCCTTGCCATATGTAATGGTAACAGCTGCTTCCTCCTGTCCCCTCTCTTGGCTCTGCCCTTCCTTTGGCTGTCATCTTTCTCCTCTTGTCTCCTCTTGCCCAGATGGGCATCCAACAGAGGAATGGAAATTCATCTTCCCCTTTTTGCTGGCACTTCAATTTTGTACTGATAATTCTTTAAAATTTTTCTTCCTGGTATTTTTAGGGAGAAGGAAGGAAGCAACCCCCTCTTCTTTCTTATAGGGAAGGGATGATATGAAAGTCTTCACAAAGCCAAAGAGTACCTTCCATCCCTTGGTCCTCTCTTTATGTGGATTTGAGGCCAGTTCTGCCCTGGGAGATAATCTGGCTGCAGTTGAGGATTATGCTTTTTAGAATTTGGGAGATGCTTAGCACTCTTTTTGTCCTCAGCTTTTGACTTTAGCCATCAACTGGGGGCCACATGGAAAGTCCCTTTTAACATCCTGCTGCATTATTTATATAGAACAGTGCTGCGGACCTCTATTTTGAAGGAAATACTCATCCATCTCTGCCAAATATCCCTGAAAACCAACTGGTACAACCTGCTGTTCTCCATCAAAAGGGAGGAAAAGGTATGTGGATCCAGCACTCTTTTTATAGGTAAAAGAACCAAATCTTCTTCAAATCAACTTTAAAGGGATTTCATATCTGAGTTTAGAACTGCATTTGCAAAATATTATAGTATTGTGATTAAGAATAATTGACCTCTGACAGACTGAACCACTCCAAGCCATTCAGCTTGAGTGAGCCTTCCTATTGCTTCATAGAAATGTGAAGCTGCAAAGTATCACTTCACTCAAATAAATCTGTATTCAAGAATAATGTGTCTATATTTGGGGTATAGAAAGGGGAACTTTTCCATAAGTTGTTTTAGCAGTCCTACCCTAATCATGAAGGCCTTAGTATAGAAGTTGTCTCTCCATTTAAGTTTCCTGCAAATGAAGTTTCATAATAATTTCAATATTTCATAAATTTGAAATCTTGATTTCATAAATTGAAGGTGATGGTGATCTCACCTAACAGATGGACAAAGTGATAAAGTAGGATAGTAGCCTCTGATGGCTATGTTGTGGGCCACACACGTGCACATGTGCTATTGGAGGGAGTGTATAAATTGGTACAAAGTTTTGTAAGGCAATTTGGCAATAACTAACAAAGACTTAAATGTTTGTATCTTTTGATTCTTAGGGACTATATAACTGAGTGACTGAGTGTGAACTCTGGATTAATTGTGTGAGGCTGGGAAAATCACTTAACCTTTTGTACCACAGTGTCCTCATTCAAAGAACAAATAACGATAATTGTACTAATATTGTAAGATTGCTGTAAAAATTAAATGAGAAAGTCATTGTAAAGCATTACACTCATAACCTGACACTGGCACTGGATAATTTCTCAAGAGACCATAGGGGGTGTCTGTGTGTACACTATACACATTAGGATGTTCCTTGCAATGTTGTTTGTTGAAGGAAAAGAATGGAACTTACCTACTGCATCTGTCTGTGTATAAGGTACAGAGATGTGTAAGATGCATCATAATTTTACAATGAAATTTTTTTCATATCATAGTTTCTAAATTATTTTCAATGAATATTTTTTTGAAAACTAGTTTTGTTCCTATATCTGCATCTTAGAATACTGTATCCTAGAACAAAATTCTAAATATTCAGCAATAATTTAATCCAGCAAAGAATACTGCATAAAACCACACACGTAAAATAAATCTGTATCACTGAATATTGGTATTGAATATTGAACTATTACTAGTAGTAATTTAATATAAGGAGAATAACACTTCTATCTCAGTCCAGGGGTTTAGCTTGTCACTATTATTATTTGCTTTGCCAGTATGGAACATATCATCCACCATTTTCTGTTTTTAAAGTTTCATCTTCCACCTGAAACAGGGATACATTTGAAACAGAATGAAATTTCAAAATTATTTGGGGATTCATTATCCAGAGAAAAATAGTACATGCATAAAACAGAACACATAGCTGTTAAAAGGCAAGAAGGCGTATCTTAATGTGTTGATAAAGAAAACTTTAGGGCGCCTGTGTGGCTCAGTCAGTTAAGCGGCTGCCTTCAGCTCGGGTCATGATCCCGGGGTCCTGGAATTGAGTCCCGCATCAGGCTCGTGCTTGGCGAGGAACCTGCTTCCCCCTCTCCCTCTGCCTGCTGCTCCCCCTGCTTGTGCTCTCTCTCTGTCAAATAAATAAAATCTAAAAAAAACCCCAAAAAACTCTAATCCTTTTTAATTCCATGATTTAAAAGTAATAATGCACATTATTTATTAAAAGTTCAAAGGATTCAGAAATTCACAAAGAATAAGTCGAAGTGTTCCTTTTTCTTCCCATGTTATGTCCCGGAAGTAACAGTTGTTACTTCAACAGCTGGGTATTTTACCCATCTATAGCTAATTTCTGTATTATTCTCTGATTTAAGACATATTACTTACTGAAAAAAACTGCAAAATAATATGATACCACGGGTATTTATTTTTATTTTTTTAAAGATTTTATTTATTTGACAGAGCCCAAGCAGAGGGAGAGAGAGGGAGAAGCAGGCTCCCTGCTGAGCAAGGAGCCTGATGTGGGACTCGATCCCAGGACCCTGGGATCATTACCTGAGCCGAAGGCAGACACTTAACCAACTGAGCCACCCAGGCATCCCACCCCTACTATTTAAGGATGTGTATGTTTGTATGCAAATTTTTTAAATTTTAAAAATATGTAGAATAGACTGGAATTTTACTTTCACTTTGTGCTTTTGTTTGAATCTTTTACTCTGAGCACATCATACTTTCTTTTTTTTTTAAGATTTTATTTATTTATTTGACAGAGAGACAGCGAGAGAGGGAACACAAGCAGGGGGAGTGGGAGAGGGAGAAGCAGGCTTCCCGCGGAGCAGGGAGCCCAATGTGTGGCTCCATTCCAGGACCCTGGGATCATGACCTGAGCCGAAGGCAGATGCTTAACAACTGAGCCACCTAGGCGCCCCACATCATACTTAAATAAAAATTTAAATATTTTTTTTCAAAACTGAAAACAAATTTTAAAAGGTGAGGATTCATTACCATTGATTTGACCACCAGATAAGAGACAAAGTTTAAGGCTGTGACTTTTAATTCATGATGTGTTTTTTGGTAAGTCCCTTTCATTTCTCAATTTTTAATTTTGAGATAATATAACCACAAAAAGATAAAAACCTTTGAGGTTTTAGGATGAATGATGACTGATGCAAGAGTATTACTTCCCAGAGACTGTTCAAAGCAGTTTGGGAATCCACTATTCCACTCTCTCTAGGGGAAAAGGGAATTTGGCCATGAATGTGTTAGCTACTGATAGATCTGGTGAGGCATCATATTTACAGGCCAATTCAGAAGTCACAAAATGGGTTGTCCCCTTTCTTCTCTGTTAGGCCAAAGACATCCAATCAACTTAGCAAAAATCACAACAAATCCTCCTGAAGTTTTCTGTCTAGACATTCTGAAATATAGGGCTGTATTCCTAAAGAGATAAAAACTCTGGTAGTACCATTTTATTTCACAGCAATGAAAAATACCACAATGCCCATTGTCATTGCTCATAAATGATGTCAAAATGTCACGAATATGGCAATGAAGGTGGCATTTCCACTCCAGTTTTTTCTATTCTTTATTTTTCCCATAACTATGTAGACCCACAGTTTTTTTTACTTAAGTCTTTGTTATTGATTTTACTAATATTACTTTATATTTGATTACTATTTTGCATTTTATAAAATACTTTCACATTCCTTACCTCATTTGACTTGACTATTTGAATAAAGCCCTTTCAAATGATTTGCTTTCTGAAAATGGCTTTTGAGGCTTCTCTTTATTTAAAACCACTAAACTTTGCAGTTCATGTTGCTCAGTTTTGTTGTTCTTTTTTTTTTTTAGATTTATTTATTTACTTATTTGAGAAAGCAAGAATGAGAGATGGAGAGAGAGCACATGAAAGGGGGGAGGGTCAGAGGGAGAAGCAGACTCCCTTCTGAGCAGGGAGCTTGATGTGGGACTCCATCCCGGGACTCCAGGATCATGACCTGAGCCGAAAGCAGTCGCTTAACCGACTGAGCCACCCAGGCGCCCCAGTTTTGTTGTTCTAACATATGACATAGAACTAGTAGTTAAAGATTTAATGGTGAAGAAAGACCACCTGACAGATGGCAGACTCGGATAAAAAGGCACCAGGCTTTCCTTTTCCAGTTAAGGACAGTACAAAAATTTTTACAACATCCCCAACAAAGAAAGGTCCAACTGAAACTTCAGTAGGCCAAACAGACCTCTGACTTTCAAGTCCCAATGCAGCTTTGAATTTAGTAGTGACTCAGCAAACCCTTCCTGAGGATGTTTCCTTGTGTGTAGCCATGGTGGAGTATGACATTGTTTTTCTCAATTTTAGGCAGGAAGAAGCTCCGACTGTTCGAATACCTTCATGAATCCCTGTGTAATCCTGAGATGGCATCTTGTATTCAGTGGGTAGATAAAACCAAAGGCATCTTTCAGTTTGTGTCAAAAAACAAAGAAAAACTTGCCCAACTTTGGGGGAAAAGAAAAGGCAACCGGAAGACCATGACTTACCAGAAAATGGCCAGAGCACTGAGGAATTATGGAAGAACTGGGGAAATCACCAAAATCCGGAGAAAGCTAACTTACCAATTCAGTGAAGCCATTCTCCAAAGACTCTCTCCATCTTATTTCTTAGAAAAAGAGATCTTCTACTCACCGTATGTTCAACCTGAGCAAGGCTTTCTCAGCTTCAGTAATTGGAATGCAAATTGTAATTGTCCATATGCTGATTATCATGAGCTAAGCCACCCTGATTGCTAAATACTCTCTTAACATTTCATTATTTCCTGGCATCAGAAATCCCTACCAATTTCAAGATTTTTCTCTTAAAGCAAATGCTGGAGAGGGAAAAACAATTAACTTCATTGTTTTTAATCTTTCATTAACAGATTATAATCTATACAGACTTGGTGAAAAAAATCTGCCAGTGAACGACTTGTAAACGATCAAGCCCCATTTGAAAGTACAGACTAAATGTCCTTCCTCTTACTATTGTTTATGCAACACTTTCAGATAAACAATGCTAGTAGAGATTATTTTACCTATATTGATTTAAATATTGTTTTCCTGTCATACACTAAGGCAAAAAAAAAAAATACCACTCTAACATATCTGATGGCTTTAGTGACAACAAAATTGCATATGATAGTCATGCGAAAATACATTCATGATTTAAAAAAAATAGTTTCTTTGCACTTCAGACCTCATGGTCTGTAACCCTGTGGCGCTAAAGAAATGATCTAAGGAAAATGTGATCTACCTTACTGATAAGAGAACTCCAAAGCTTATACTACCCACAAGTCATTTCCTGGCATTTCTCCCCTGGGGTAGATCCAGGAGCTAACGTTTCTTGCTATCCTGCCGCTCAGCCACAAGAAGGTGCTCTTGCCTTGTTAACGGCTCTCTGGCCCAACTTTGAAACAAGACTTCCTCTTCCCTTGAATTAGCCCAGCTAAGACCAGGCTGGAACAATTGGAGAAAAAGAAAAGAAAAGAAAGATTTTGATAAAGGATAGAGACTAGCAAATAAATCCAGAAAGGAACCAGGACTTGAAAGCTATGGTTTGTTCTCAACATTCCATCAGGAATGAAGAAGGAAACCCTGTTAACTTTCTTACGAAACCTGGCAGGTTCATACATACTCCATCTGTATTACTATGACACGGGAGAGCTTCCTAGACTACATGGGCTATCTTCAGTCCAGGCCAAGAGCTGCTTGGAGCCTACCCTATTTGATTTGTACCATTGTCCTTTTTCTTTGTGTCCTCCTGGTGCCCTTTGTCCCTCAGGGATTCTTAAAAACATGGCAGACTAAGTGAAGGTAATGATACTGGCCATCTGCACAGGTAGTCTGGCCTTCTGGTATAAACAATGTTTGCATCCTCCCCAAAATCACATGTTGAATCATAACCCCCCAGTGTGATGGTATTTGGAGGCAGGCTCTTTGGAAGGAAGAGCTCTCTCAAATGGGCTTCGTGCCTTGTGAAAGAGACCCAGAGAGCTTCCTCACCCCTTCTGCTTGAGGACACAAGACGGCCTCCTATGAACCAGGAAGCAGGCTCTTACCAGACATTGAATGTGCTGGCGCCTTGATCTTGGACTTCCCAGCTTCCTGAACTGTGAGAAATTTCTGTTTATGAGACACCCAGTTTACAGTATTCTGTTACAGCAGCCGAAAAGGAGCAAGACAGTTCCAATCAGTGCTCACCTTAAAAGTAGGACCCAGCGTACTTTTGTGTTCACTTTCCTACAAAGAAATATGCTCTGTAAATTAATGAACCACATAAATTTTACCAGACTTTGCGAAGAGGAAATAAATGAAGAGGTTTTACTACACAGATCATTCAGCCAACAATAAAATTCATTAACATTTTACTTCTCTCCATAGTCCCTCTTAAACTCAATGCCAGCCTGAGGGGTTCATCTTGACAATTCTCCCAAAAGCCCCCAGTCAGCCCCTAATCTGTTTCATACTGTTTCGTACTGTTCTACAGAGTAGCTTTCTCTTGGGCAGAAATCTGGGCTCTGCCTTTTACCCAAAATGGGCTGATCAAAGGCCATTTTCACAAGCATGTCAGTCCTTAAAGACCAAAACTTCCGTATATTGTGTGCCATGTGCCCTACTTCAAACAGGGTGTTACTCCCTACCACCACCAAAGGACAGGGAAGAGAGACTTGTTAAACTCTTATCATGGCCCTTCATTTCCTAGTATATGGTATCCCAACCTCTATCTTGTCACTGTCACCTGGCTGAATGACCCAAACTCTTCTCCAGTGAGGAGGTGTCCAGTGCTAAGTGAAACACATGGTTTCTTCTGTTAGGAAATTTCAATTCTGTCAATACAGATTGGTAAGTTTTATTAGTATTTAACCAAAGTTTACCTAATGCCTTACCAAAGAGCAATTTATTGGTTGATTGGGCACATATATTGTGTATGTAAAGTGCATCAGTGTGGCAACATTAATTATATCTAACCTGTACAGACTGATCTATACACCCACTTAACCATCATCTAGATGAAGATACAGAACACTTCAGCATCTCATAAGGTTCTCTTTCCCAATGCCCACCTTCTTAAACATCATATAAATGGAATCACAGTTTGTATTCTTTTGCATCTGCTTTTGTTTCCCTCAATACAATATGAAGTTCATCAGTGTTGCTGGATATAAGAGGAATTTATTCTTACTGCTTTTCAGCTCCTGATTTTTTAAAAAGACAGTGCCTGAAATCTCTTCTTCAATCCCCAGACTTTATAAATATAAAATGGACCCAGAATATTCTTATATTCACATGGATAGTGTTCCTTTATTGTCAAACATTGATGCCTGTCCTCCACAGAGTTGGAATGATGTACACTCATAAAACCACAATTTATATTTAGATATTTTGGTTAATATATTTTTACCAACTCATGTAATCTGGATGGAATTTGAGTTTGTGTTTTGATCATACAAATCCTGATGATATTAATGTAAAATAGGCTTAAAGCAATTTACTCCTTTCTCATGGATTGTTGAAAGTTAATGAAAATACTTTTAAACTAAAATGAACCATATTTCTTCAAGTTTCCTGCCCCCCATTTCAAAGCTGAAGATACTCTATGTTTGCCTTTGCAATATGGTGAAAAATTAGCTTGAATTTAATAGATGGCTGCCTCCTTAAGCCTGGATGGATTTTAAGAGCAGTGGATAGTTACTAGAAAGAAAAGGGTCTGCAGGTAGGGATTTGTGGCTTTTTTTTTTTTAAAGATTTTATTTATTTATTTAATTGACAGAGAGAGAGACAGCGAGAGAGGGAACACAAGCAGGGGGAGGGTCAGAGGGAGAAGCAGACTTCCCGGCGAGCAGGGAGCCCGATGCGGGGCTCAATCCCAGGACCCCGAGATCATGACCTGAGCTGAAGGCAGTCGCTTAACCAACTGAGCCACCCAGGCGCCCCGGGATTTGTGGCTTTGTCAGGCAAGCACAGTGAGGCATCCCATAAATGTGTGAAACAGACTACCTCAAAGATTGTCTGTCAGGAGCAGCCCTGACTTAGCTTGGCCATGAACTAGTTTGACTAAATGTGGAAGAAGAATCTAGAGCATCTAGGTTTTTGTTTTGTTTTGTTTTTTGGTAGTGGGCCCCAGAATCAGAAATCCAAATGAAGAGAGCACATGAATGTTTCAGTGGTGATCTGATGAGTCAAAATTCAGTGTCAAAGAAGTAGATGTGGTTCAAATATGAGAAATTTGCAAATTGTGCAAGAACAAAGCTTTGTACAATGTTTGGATCTGCTATCAGAGATAGTTTAATTCCTGACAGCTGTGGAAGCTAGGGAAGATTCTCCTTGATAAGCACACTCACCCAGGATTTGTAGTGGAGGATTAATCAACAAAAGGCCAGTGAATTCATATGCAGCTTAAGTGAACAAACAGAATTTCCTATAATCAAAAATGTATGATATAGGTGAACAAATAAAAATTTATTTAATAATCATGCGTTACATATGCAATGAAATTATAGCAAGTTACGTGATGAAAGATCACATTTACAAGTTTCAGATAAGTCAGACTGATACCTCTTGGAACACTTCATTTCTTATTAACTCTTAGTAAAAGGAGGGAAATTCACTGGGATGCACTGGGCTGCAAGTAACAAAAGACCCTGACTCAAACTGGTTTAAATGATAAGAAAATTTAATATTTCACAGATAAAGAAGTCCAAAGGAAGAGTATGCTACAACCATGACACATTATTGTTCTGGCTTCGTTTTCTGGTGAGTCTTTTGTTACACTTTCTTGCCATTGGCCTTTTCCTCAGGTTTGCTAAGAGTAAAATGACTACTGCAGTTCCAACTCTTATCAGCACAGCAGTGTCCAACAGAAAGAGCCACTTCTACCAGTGTCCTCTTTTCAGTCGGGGAAATTTTCCAGAACCCCCCAGAACATCTCATGTCCTATTGTCCATACTTGGGATCCCTGCTCAGGCCTAAATCATTCACTGGCAAAGGAAAAGAGCCACTGTTACTGGCTCAGACCAAAGGGAATTCAATCCTGGAGGAGGAAAAGGGTCATGATCCCTTGGGTTAGTGAAGAGAGAGATGAATACCTGAATGAAACTAGTATTTTGCCTGAAAGGAGAGAGTAATGGATGTTGAGTGGAAAACCAACAATGTTTGCTATAGTCCACCACTTTGAGTGCCCAATATCTCTCCATACTTAAAAGGTGTTCATGCCTTTATTGAAATTATTCACGTATTCCCTAACAGGAAGTAACCTCATCAGGTTACTACATCCAAGTCCAGGATTGCTGGAAAATGTAGTTTTAATACTATTATTATTTAGACATGGTAAGAGTGCCATCAAAGAAATCATTTATTGCACTCACAATTCCAAGAAAGAGAGTACATCATGCCATGATGGCTACATGGAGAAGCACTTGGGTTAGTCATGAGGCAGATGGAAAGGGAAACTGTGGGCAAGAGGTTTTATTGTGGTTTCTGCAAGAAGAAATGGGTGAGGCAGGTGAACAGGTTTAGGATTGGCTAGTTTAAATAATTTAGTGGGGCAAAGAGGCTTCCCCTACTTGCCTGGTACCTGGCCTTAGGGTGTTTAGGATGGGTACATAGTGGCCCAGAGCATGAGAACCCCACAAGGGAAGTGGTTGGGGTGTAGACTCTGGATTTATTGACTTGTATTTAAAAATTACACCTTAGGGAGGATTCCTCCTGGGGGGGAATGGAGAAGGTGACAAGGGAGGCAGTTGGCTAAGGCAAGGTAACTCAGGCATATTACTGGGTTGTCCAGAAACAGGTGTGTCTGGCCTATGCATGCAGGGCAGACGTTAAAGCATCAAGTTTACAGAAGCTAGAAACATGATTCATACAAATGTTCATTTGTCTCCTCTGATCCATAACTGTGTTTGCTCTTCATGGTTCAGCAATAGACTACATTGGGAAAGGGCAAGAGCAGAAAACCACTCCTGGTCACTTCCCCATAACTCATATCTTATCCAAACTACACAGGGATGGTGAGATTCCCGCCTGGGACAGAGGTAAATTCCTCTCAGTCAATGAGGCTGACCCTATTTACATTCTCTTCAGGGAATGCCCTTCATCATGTCTTTCATGATCCCTGGTTCTGCCTCTTGGAATAATCTCCCAGTTTATTTTTTCTATGGTCATATCTGAAATAGGCATTTGAAAGATGTATTTCCTCAGTACTGAGTAGCAGTATGTTAATTCAAGTTCAGAAGTCTGAGATTGCTAATTCCACATTTTAGCATTTGCTACTGACAACACCCTACTTGCTGGTAATGAATTTTGAACTCTTTTGGTTGTAGCTAACTGAAATCAGCTTTGAAGGTTTACCTCACTGAAGTATTCACTGGGATGTTTTTAAAAATATTGCTTACAGAATTTCTGAGGAAGCTGGAGAATAAGCAGCCAGACGTAAAGCCCTAAACCACATCAAAGTTCTGGCCAAGTTAGGACATCACATAACACTGCCAGTGTTACCAATTACCAGATGCCTCGACTTAACGTCATCTCACGTATCACTGAAAAGAGCTACCATAGCATCACCATTGTCCCCAGAAACTATCTTGCTGCAACTGCCATTGCTTTCACAGGTGGTTGTCTACCATCCCTGCTTCTATAAATCACTAGAACCCGTTCAAATTTTGGGAAGGGTACTTCTAGTTGGCTCATGCTTGGTCATATGCCCATACTTGACTGCAAAGAAAGCTAGAAAAGTGATTATCTGGAACTTTCAATTCTTAAAATGGGAGACTGTTTCTGCATCCTATCAAGACTTACAAGGTCAAAAATTCCCCAAACATAGAATGGGGTTCAGATGCTGGGCAGCCAAAAGAATGACAAAAGTTCATTAGAATTTTTAACTACAGTAACAAGGATCATATCATGTATAGTTTAATTTTAAAGACCTTTGCCCTACCCGGCTAATCTCCAAAAATGCTCTTTGTTCTTGGTACTTTTGTGCTCGTAGGAATTTAAATAGTCTCTAAACAACTTTTCCTTATCTTTCTGAGAAGACACTTTCAGCACAGTATTTAAATTCTCCAAACATTAAATAAAATTTTAACTTATATTTTATAACTGAAGCTAACCTAAGAAATTGAAGTCTATAATTTCTAACTTTCACAATATGGAGGCTTTATTCATATCTGTTTTCCTTTGTTCAAAGGTCTCTTACAATGTTCCAGTTTCATGATTTAATTTCATTGGGATTAAATTTGAAGAACTCAAAATAATATAATCAACCAGTTACAATTAAATAAGATAACCAATACTGATTTTTCCCCAAGAGCATTTTCTGGTTGCCAGAGCTTGCTCTGAGGATGAGAGGGGGTACATTAGAAGTACTCAAGCTTTTAA